CCTAAGATCGACCCCACCCCCCGCATGGTTATCTCGACCATCACCGCCGCATCGGCAACCCCCTACTGAGCACTTGGTAAAGGGATCTTCCCATCCGATGAGATGGCCTCCATGACTCCGACATCCCTAAAGCTTCTGCCACGGAGGAGGGCAGCAGGCGCTTTTCCCCAGCCCGAAGCCCCATAGCTCACCCTCGGCGTTGCTCTGAGCTGCCTTCATACCTCCGAGGATGGTGGGGGGAAAGGGGACAGGCGCCCCCGCCGCTCTCCCTCATGTGGAGGCCTAAAGCTGCCTCAGCCAGACCCCTCTCCCGCGGCGAGAAAGGGGCGGGACCGGGCAAAAGCAGCCTCTCTCAGCCCCGGCGGCTACTACACGGCAACCGCCATCCCACCGCGCGAGACTTCCTCGCTCCTCCTCTTCGGCCTCGAAACATGACAAACGCAGAGCAGGAGGTCAGGCGAGAATCCCGGGTGGCAGCCAATGCAACGGCAGACAGGCCAGTAGCTCTCGCGAGATTTGAAAACGTCGTGTCCTCCCTCTCTCTCCCTCCGTCCTATCTAATTCCTCGTTGAAGAGACGCCCGCTTTAACCTCCACAGGAATACAGTAGTTGGCAGTTTTTCTTCGCTGTTTTCAAGTACAAAATGCTTTCTCATAAAGTGTCATTATCCGGAGTGGAAGGAGCAACGGTTCTCTCACGTCCGATGCTGACAGGATGCCGCTTCCAAGTTGTTTAATAAGCCTGTATTGAGAGAAAAAGGAGGGGAAGGAGAGCGGCCATTTCTAAATCAGTTTGTCCCTGTTCCCGAGGAAATTCATTACGTTTTTGTGGAAAGACAAAAAAATCCCATCCGCAACTGACTTGTGATAAGGTTTAATACATTTCATAGCGGAAATCAGAATGATCTAGAACCGCTCAAAAGCGTTACAGTACATTATATCTACTTTTTTTCCAGTTCGTTAGCTGTTGAGAGGAAAAGTTACTGCCGGGAAGCAAACTCCCTCTCCTTTTTTTCGGTCTTGTAGGTTTTTCAATAACAAAAGTTTTAATTAAAAATAGCGCATTTTAGTCTTAATTTCTCAGGGCCATCCAAGTTTTGAGGGGAAAAAAGCCCAGATCCCGCGAGACCATGGCACCAAATCTCGTGTAAAAAAAACCCCAGCCGGTCAGAAACCGGGGTAACCTATTCCCTGTCCCACCCCCGATCTCCAGGCCGGCGTCGCGAGATTTCGCAAAGCTCCGGCTGTATGGGAGCGCGTGCGCCTGCGTGAGAACGGGTGTACGCGCACGCATGTGCGTGTTCTCGCGGTATTTGGAGAAACAGGAGCAGGCAGAGGAGTTGGGGGAAAGGAACCCCCGAGCTGTACCAAAGGAAGCCACGGCGTCGGCGGCTCGGAGGACGACAACGACGGCGATTTTTTTTTCGTATTCTCGCGAGAGTTGGTGGCTAACCTTCCCTCCTCACTTTCCTACCTTCCTCTCCCCTACCCCTCCCCCCAATCTGGAAACAGCGCCGTTTCGGTCTGGGAAGTAGGTGGAAAAAGATGGGGATCCTGGCTTGGGGAACTCACTAGAGATTCAGGCTGAGGAAGGGGGTCTCCCCTTAGGAGAGGCTCGTTGGGCTTGGTCACGGGCCTCCAGGATTTGCCCGGTGAGCCAGGCCCCGGGGCGGGCTGGAGGTGTGTATAGTAACCCCTCTCAGGAAGTTAAGGAAATAGCAAATAAATTCAGACCCCACTTTCATTTTGTAGAGACGTGAGGCCTTGAGTTAGTGGCAAAGCAGCCTTGACCCAAGGGAGTCCACTACTTAAGTACTTTGGGGGACTACTGTTAGGGGACCCCTGCTTCAAAAATCTGGAAGTGAACTAGTCTCTTTCCAGAACTTTTTTTTTTTTTTTTTTTGTGCTTGGAAAGTTCAACTCCTTGCCTATTTACAAACTGGGGTTTATATGTATTTTTACCCCTTTAACCAACCCTTTTGGGGAATTCATATCCTGAAACTAGAGGTTAATTGAGACCTGCAATTAAGGAAGAGCAGGTGCTTACTCAGGGTTAAAAACGCCTTCTCTGCCCTTTGTACTTGTGGGATCAGAGGATATTTTGACAAAGAGTTATTTTTCTCCATTTGAAACGTGGACTCAGCTCAGTTTTAGATCTATTTCTGAGACAACTTTATCTTATATTCTGCATGTCAGTGTAGAATCAGGCATTCATAGAGCAACCCCATCTACTCTCATGTAAAGAGACAAGAGTGGGTTGAATGTAGGAAGTAGGTAACAAAAGGGAAAGCAGCCCTTCCATCATAGGAGGGGGTGTCTTGAAGATTAGAATTTGGGCTTTTTGGAGGATTCCTCCTTTTTTTCAAGCACAGTGGAGAAGGAATGCCAAACCCAGAGAGACATGGGGGCAAGAAGGATGCGGGAGGAGGGGGGTCTTTGCATCAAGATGCAGTATCCGGCAGTGGGAGCTCAAACAGCAGAGAGAGGCACCGGCTCTCCAAGCATAAAAGACACAGATCCAGGCATTCCAAAGATTCACCGTTGGGGTCCCAAGAAGGAGGAGCACCACTTGGCAGCATGATCAAGCCATTGGTAGAATATGATGATATCAGCTCCGATTCTGACACCTTCTCAGATGAAGCAGTCCTCAAGTTGGAACGTAGAGAAAATGATGAGCGGAAAGGGACATCGGACAGGAGTGATCGCCTACATAGACATCGTCATCATCAGCACAAGCGTGTCCGTGAGTTGATGAAAAGTAAGCTGGGGGACAAGGAGAAGAGACTGGACAGGAACCAAGAGTCCTCAGGCAAGTTGAGTTCTACTAAAGATAGACTATTTGGGACTTCCAAAAGGCTGCATGAGGAGAATGATGACCATTCATCTAAATCATTCAAGAGCAGTAGCAAAGAGTCCCGGTCAGCCAAACTGCATAAGGAGAAGTCTAGGAAAGAGCGGGAGGCAAAATCTGGTCATAAGGATCGCAGTAAAAGTCATCGGAAAAGAGATGCCCCCAAAAGCTACAAGTCACTGGACAGTCCAAAGCGGAAATCCAGAAGTCCACACCGTAAGTGGTCAGATAGTCCCAAACAAGATGACAGTCCCTCAGGAGCATCCTATACACAGGACTATGACAACAGCCCTCCACGCTCGCACACATCCAGTAACTATGATTCCTATAAGAAGAGTCCTAGTGTATCCTCACGACGACCATCAGTCAGCCCTCCTTATAAGGAACCTGCTGCCTACCAATCCAGTATACGTTCTCCCAGCCCTTATGGCAGGAGACAGCGGTCAGTCAGCCCATACAGCAGGAGGCGTTCATCCAGCTATGAAAGGGGAAGTGGATCCTACAGTGGAAGATCCCCCAGCCCATTCAATCGAAGGCGCTCCAGCAGTCCTTTTGTTTCCAAGCGGTCTCTGAGTCGTAGTCCTGTTTCCAGGTATTTGGTCTTCATAGTTAAATCAGAATTGTTGGGCCTCCTCATAAGTACAAATGTAACTAAAGGGGCCGACATCCCAGAATCTTTGTTATTGTCCCTCAGAACAGAAAATGTTTTATATTCCTCTGTATCATGATTCATTAGGATAGCCTTTCCCACCATGATGTGTTCATATGTGTTGGATTATAACACCTGCTATTACAAAGTAGCATGATCGTGCTAGTGAGGTTGGAGTTGGAGTCTAACACTTATGGAGGGCACAATGTTAAAGTAGGCTGATTTAAGGTACAAATTTGTTTGTCTTGCAATACTGTTGTATCGTAGATCCTGTATCAACACTGATCTGATTGGATATGGTAAAGCATAGTTGAATATGACAAAACTTAGTTGCAGTGAGCATTAGTCTTGCATGTTTTTCAGTGTATCTTTTTATTTTGGTTTGGTTTGTCTACAATTTGTCATATCATCAGAACCTGGCAAACTAGAATCATTAATCAAATGATTGGCATAAACTACAGTTCATTAAATCTGAATGACATATTACATTATAGTTAATGCAGATAGGTAGCTTCTGTGTCAGAGGTTTGTAAGTGAGGAACACAGCTTCCAAGATTTACTGTTAATTGTTTTCATCATGCTAAATTCAGATTTAGGCAGTGATTTCTGATAACTGAAACTGCAGCTTAGTTCATACTCCTGAACCATGGAGTGATATTGTGGCTTTTCAGTTTTTATAAAATTAAACTGGAAGAGGTAAGAGGAAGAGGAATGTAAACTTCAGGGTTGCAAATAACTTTCTTCTTTAGCACACTGAACTCAATTCAAAGAAAATGAGGTACATTTAATTTTATACCACTTAAGGATATAATACTGAAGTTTCAGATTTTATCAGCCTTAATGGTGTCCTATTCTCTCAGCTTTATGCTAGTAACAAAGTGAGCAAATCCCAGTGGTTTTAGTAGAGTGTACTTCCATAAAGTCTTGCTTGAATAGTTTTTATCAGAATGATATTACTAAACCTTTTTTTATGGGGATAGACATTATCTTTTGATAAACTCTTAGTGGTTAGGTGCTCAAATCACTTTTGATTGCAGCTTCTGGTATTTATGAATACTGTGGGAGAAGTCAGTGCAGCTAAAATGTATTTATATTATTCCTTGTAAACTCTAATTTTAACAATTATTGAAACCTGAAAGCAACTTTGAAAATAGGCCAGTTCCCTATCAACATTTGTTACTGATTCTAAACTTTATTCTGTTCACCATACTTTAAATAAGATTTCACTTTGCTAATACAGGTAGTCCCCAGTTTAAGAATGAATTCCATTCCCAAGGTCTGTCCTTAAATCGAATTTGTATATAAGTCGGAACAGTATCATTGTATAGTATTGTATAAATAGTATTGTGTAATTAACTCAAACTTTTGTGCATTTAACTCAAATCATTGTATATTTAACTTGAATTTTGTTATAGTAGGCTCTGTTCTTAACTATGGGTCATCCGTAAACTGGGCATTCTTAACCTGGGGATTACCTGTTATTCTTTATAATGTGAATGTATGAAACTGCTAATATTGGTTATCACTGGATATCACAGAGTTAACATGTCCATGGATAAGTTTCTACAATTTCTGTTAACACTTTTAATGCACAATCTTGGCATTTGAGCATAAGCTCTCTTTGTTCAGTGAAGCACTTAACATTCTGACAGTGCTAAACAACAGTCTTGTCCCATTGTTTTGAATATTCATAGGACTCAAATCTTCTTAGTTGTGAATTCTGGATGGTCTTCATGCAGTGTGTCTCTCACAGCTCCATTCTCCTCTCTGCAATGAGATAGTTAATGATCTTGAGAGAAAGTATATAATAGTTAACATACAGCACTTTATATGGAGGAAATGCTTGTGAAACAAGTATTATTGATTACTAGGCAAACTGCCCACCAAGTATGATAAGGAAAAAATGTCAGTATCATTAAGTAGGTTCTTTGCATTGTATAATTTTCCTTTGGACTGTGAAGTATATTTTTTTTTATAAACCCTGCACTTGGTGTGCTACATTTTGAATCCAATATTTTTTGTTTCCATGGTTAAGTTGGTTGGTCCATCAACTCTGGGCAATTATATTTAAATAATGTAGGACAAATGGAGCTGCTGTTTCCTGCTCACTATGGACCAAAAGTCAGGAAAGCATCTCTATGTCTATTGAGAATTGGTTAATATGAGTAAACATCTTCTGATCTTAACTATTTTTAGAAAACTGTTATGAAAGTTACTTGGTTGAGTCTTTATGATGTGCTGGGTAAAGTGGATTTGAATAGAACAAAGAGTAAGAAGAAGTGGTATATTTAAATACGTGAAACTGCAGGGGGATATCTCATTCCTATTCATTTTTCATATTCTCTTATATTTCACTTCATAGGCTTGACAAAGTTCTTTCTGGTGTACTAGTCTGCAAACTCTTTTTCCCACCCACCTGCTACATGTATTGGGTTCTGAAACTCTTAACCATTTCTAATTCACATTCTCCATTAGAGTAGTCTATAAAAAAAAAAAGTGCCCTTCCTCTAAACTGACTGTTCATATTAACTGGGGAATGGCTGCTTATAATTGGGCTAAAACTGTGGTAGAATCCACTATCAAATGGTGTCTCTAGTGAGTTGAAGAGCTAATTCTCAGGTGCCAGTGTTGAATTCCTAAATGAGCAGGGATTGGCAGACTGCTGACTTTATTGAAGGTTAGAGATTGGGATACGGATGACTGGAGCTCAAATATTCTGTGAAGAATTTTGTTGCATATTTATTAGTAAACTTTGGTGACCTGAATTCTGGGGAATATTTTAGGGTACCCTCTTGGATTGTATGAGGAACAAGTGAAGAATATTCTGTCTACATATTACCTTACCTGGAAGTGTGCCCTGAAGCATAGCTAACATTTATTTGACTGTGGTTGGGTTCACATGTCACTAAACCTTGTGGTGGTTTGTTTGGTTATGACTTAGTGTGCTGGGTGAATCAGCTATTGTGGTCTACACACCCTGGTAAAATTAGGCCACCATAGCTTTTAAAACAAACCACACTGTAGTGTGATATGTGAACTCAACCAGTGGATGCGTTCCATGGGAATAACCATCTTTCAGCCAAAAGAACAAAATCGTTTTTTCTTAAACTATTATGACTCTTATTATTGTTGAATTCCTGTAGATAATTGGTGTTTCCCAGTAATGACACTCATCATTGCAAAGGAGAGAGCCCTGATCTGGGCCCCAGTTAAGTTACATTCAAGAGCCCTTTGCTCTTGATAGATGTCTGTGCTATACCAAAATAACATCACTAAATATGACTTTGGTATCCCCAAGAATGCAACTAACTTTTTCTATATTGGAAGCCATGTAAACTGTTTAAACTACCTAAAACAGCAAATTATATCTTTATAGTTACTTATTGATAGCTTATTCAAAATGTAGAATAAAATTAGAATAATAGGTCTAAAGGCTGAGTTCAGCCCTACTTACTGACTTAATGATGCTCTTTTCTCAATCATGTTTATTTAGTGACCCCTACTGGCTTTGTGGACTCTTACTGCTGTTTCTGCCCTCTTCCATGGCCAAATTTATCTTTGAGTTTAATTTAAATCAACAGTGCCTGTCATAAACAACTGTATGTACAATCTTGTATATGTAATGATCCTGGCAATTGGATTTCTGGACACCACTGTCTGCAAGTCTCAGTAGCCATACTGTCTTAATAATGAATATAGTAAAAAGGTAACAAAAAAAAAAAACCTAAAACTTTTAAATAATCTGAAAATAATGAAGTAACAAAGTAAGGAGGCAGCTTTTAATATATTTCATTAATAAAATTAAAAAATAAGGCAGTTAACATTCACATTTCAAGCTGCTACTATATCTTCTAAATTTTAGATTAACCTTAGTGACCTATGCTGCAAAGACCTGAGGTGCTCCTGTTAGACCTCAGGATTAAATAAAATCTCAGTTGCCTGTAATTTCTGCCTGTAGTTTACTGCAAAAATTGCTTTCAAATCTTTGTGTTTTGTAGGTTAATTTTGTTGGAGTTTTAGTATTTGGGGTTAGGAATGATTTAGGTAGGATGACTGATTTGCTGAGATCTGATTCTTAGAACAGTTTTGTCCAGTAGTGTTAGAACTGAGAAGGCTCACTGCCAGGGATAGACTGGGGAAGACTAAGAACCAGCGTGCAGATTTCTGACACAGGGTATTGAGTTTTGGTAGACCTTGCCAGTTCTTTTAATTTAATTTAATTTAATTTCTACTTTCAGGAGCTGTAGGTAGGGTACATAGCACTCCCTCCCCTTATTTTTTATCATAATAACTTTGTGACATAGGTTGGACTAAAAAAGAGTGATTGGCCCATAATCACACAGTAAACTTCTATGGCTGAGGATGCACTAGAACCTGAGTCTCCCTATTCTAGTCTTCTGCTACACTATACTAGAAAGTACATAGCCCATGCTGAACAGCAGAGCTGAAAATCTCTCTGAGCTGGCCAGTGAACTTTCAGTCTTGGTGCTAAAGAAAAGGAAACCTCAGTGAGTTCTTTTTCTGATTACATGGAACCTCTAAGGGCATCTTAGGAGAGTAGCCACCAATGTGGGAAAGTGAAGCTTGAAACAATGCTGACCCAACCAAAGGCAGTTCTGCTTCTCTCCCTTCCATCTCTCTTCAGTCAGAACATTTTAAAGAAAAACTTTGTAGTAAAGATTTCTGCCTTATAGAAGTTTCTGTCACATTTAGTACAGGGAATATATCTCTGTGTATGCACATACAAACACAGTGATATCATGTTTTCCAGCTTCCAAACAAAAGATTTGAGGTCTGAAATATATCCAGGCCTAAAATGTTTGACTCCTTTTATTTTAACAGGTGGTACAATGAAGATTGTTATATTATCTGTTATACGTAAGTGGAAGATGCAGTTTCAGGCTATGCACATAAAGTGGGCCTATAGAAGAAAACGAAGAAGCCTGTAGCAAGTTAGAATGTGTATTGGAGCTTTAGGGTCATGGTCAGTGTCTGTACATAGACTGGGTTCACAAATGGCTAGACCATGACCTATTTTAACCATGGTTTGATGAATAAATCAGCACTTAACCATGGTTTACAAACTGCAATGGCTGGGTTCACATATCTTGTAATTCCAAACCAAACATATAGTGTAGTTAAAAAAAAAAAGAAATATCAAGCATACTTCTTGAGAACTAGAGGTTGATTTTTACATAAAGTATGGCAGTTGAGATCTTATGGGATTCTGACTTATCCTATTCTGTTTTCATAGGAAGCCCATGAAATCCCGAAGCAGAAGTCCTGCTTATTCAAGGCATTCATCATCTCATAACAAAAAGCAAAGAACTGGGTCTCGCAGTCGCCATTCCAGTATCTCACCTGCTCGACTACCACTGACCTCCAGTTTGGGAGCTGAGCTGAGTAGGAAAAAAAAGGAGAGGGCTGCAGCAGCAGCCGCTGCAGCAAAAGTTGATGGAAAGGAGAGCAAGGACTCACCTAGCCTGTTGTCTAGGAAAGAAAATAACTTAGCTGAAGTAAAAGAGTCTATAATGGATGTCAAGAAGACAAAAATGGCTAAGCCTGAAAAATGTCCTCCTGATCTAGAGACGGTAAATACTCTACAGCACAATGCAGAGACGAAAACAACTCCTGAGCCTGTCAAAACAAAGACAGTAGAAAATTCTGAGAAGAAACTACCTGCTTCGGTTAAAGACTCAAAAACAATGGGAACAAAAGATATGAAACTTGTTATAGCAAAGGAGGAAATTGTGACTCCAAAAGAAATAGAGACAGCTGAGCAAGAGGTCCCACCTCCTTTGCCTTCTGTAAAGTCACTCCCTCCTTTACCAACATCATCCCCACCTCCTCAGATTCCTCCTCCTCCATTGCCCCCTTTGCCTCCATTGCCAGTTGTTCCCCCTCTGCCACCTGCCCAGTCATCTACCATTCACAGCCCTGCTTTAGTTTCTTTGTGTCTGCCATCTTCTGCCCACTCTAAGACATCCTTGACTTCTCAGGCTAACTCTCAGTCCACCATGCAATCCTCCTCAAAGGGACATGTTTCCGTGGCCATAGCTGTCCCACATCTGAAAACGTCAACGTTGCCTCCACTCCCTTTCCCACCAATCTTGCCTGGGGAAGATGAGTTGGAAAGGTAAGGTTTATAGACACTGCTATTCTACAAAGGCTTGTTAGTGTAATGGATTGCTTGCTTCACTGTTCTGATGCAAACGTTGGTATCTGAAAATTGTTGACCTGGTGAAGTAAATTCTGTAGTCAGTAGTTAATATTGGCAGGAGTAGTAGTCTGGTTGCTGCCTCTGGAACCTTGAATTAGTAATGTGGACAAGACTGGGAATTTCTTGCAGGATATGAAGGATGTATCTCCTTAATAGAGAAGAATTTGGGTAGCACTGTTGAGAGAGGGCTTAGCCTGAAATGCCTGATAGGTATTGCTGGTCAGGATAGTTTTAGACTTAGATAATGTGGCTGATAATCCTACTGTTTTTTTCAGTGTTTACTCTTACTTGCAGTGCTCTTTATGAAGATAGCTCAGAAATGTTCATGACTGGAAAATTTTTAAGCAGGCTAACACTGTGCTTTTGCACCCAGTGTTCCCTTTAAATAGCCAGTGTGTAGCAATTTGTTTTGTTATCAGTATTTGATTGCCATATTTGGAGCCAGGAATGATCTTTTTAAGTCAGATTTTTTTTTTTTTTGGTGGTAAAGTATAATTTGGCCTTTTCATTAAGCCACCTTAGTTGCTGTCTTAATTTTTCCTCTCATTGGACATGTTATCCTGTTTTCACTTGTCTCATTTTATATATAAAGAGGATGATAGGGGAACTCTGCAAGACCAAGATTTGCTATGACTGTGACCTGATTTTTCTCAGCTAGATTATAGTCTGCACTATTTCCATTTTCCTTATTTTAGTCTGAGTCTTTTTCTCTTCTAGTCTGTCAAAATATTCCTCGTGTTGTAAGGAGCTTCTAACTAGTAAAAAGTGTAACAATTAGTTATTCACAGACATAACACTCGGTGCAGAGCTGGATTTTTATGATCCTTTGAGAGCTTGAGTGGTGCAGCATGACTGGATTCTGTCTGATGAAACCAAAGTAATTCTAAACAGGGAAATTTATGTAAATCTTGCCTGTATGGATATTATTACTGTGTGGATTATTATTACTATTATTATTATAGCAGAAATATTGCCTAAATTAAAATAGTTTTCTTTTTTGCATCAAAAGTCCTCTGGAACAAAGACACTAGAAAAATAGTTTGTATAATAAACTTATGGGGAGAAGGGGAAGCAATAAGTCAATTTCTAGTATTTAGATTTAAGCATTCCTACCTTCTTTGTAATTGTGTTGGAATTTGACCCAGAACCCAGACAACTTAAACCTGTGTCTAAAAGAAGGCAATTCTATCCACCAGCCCACAGAACACAATATTCATCAAGCAGAATTGTACAGCAGAATTCTTGATATTCCAATAAACAAGCCAGGTTGAATACTTCAGGGACCATCAGTTATTTTTCAGACTTCTAGCTAGTTTGATTTCCAGGGAGAGGAATTTTCCTGATTCTAAATCTAGCAAACAGTATTAATTTTCAAGTGCATTTGTACCATCCCATGTTTGGCTGGGGCCACTGAAAGTGTGTAAAGTGAAGAGATGGGAATTCTGTTCTGTAATTATATCTTTGATGGCACAGTTAGACATCATCACTTGATACTGCATTGCTAACCTTCCAATGTCAATCAGCCTGCAGACCTATCTCTGTATCTGTTAATTGGGGAGGCAGCACATAGTAGTATCCAGGAACTATAAAGTAATGAATGACAAATACTAATCTATGGAAAGAATGCTATTTTTAAAGTGTTCATTTACAAAGCTGTAGTTAGTATAGTTGTTTACCTGCAGACACTCATTTCTAGGTATTTGTAGTAATCTGTGGGTGCTTTTCTTTCTGTCTCTTTCAAGCAATGGCTGCACTTAAAGTTTGAGTAGTGTGGTGGGTGTGGATAAAGAATGTACTTGAAAACGTGGGGCCAAGAGAAAATTAATTTGATTTCAGTTAAAATAAATTCAATTAATGATTGTATTCTTTAAATTTATTTTTTTCCTTCCATCACATTAAAAGTGAAATGTTTTCTAAAACCCAGAATGTTGTGATTCCAACTGTATACAAGGTATACAAATGTACAAACTTTAATGCTAACTTGGTACAGTCTTTGGTTGGATTGATTTCCAGTAGATATTTCTATCAATAAAGTTGAAATTGTAGCAGCTGCTGTATTGTTCCTACAATCTAGAAATTATCCGTGTGTGTGAAAACTTGGAGTTGTGGAATAGTGGTCGGCCTCTAAATAATTCATAACACTCTCCTTGTTTTCTCTGGTGCTTTAGTCCAAAAGAGATTGTTCCTGTGAAGTCTGTGAAGAAAGAGAAAGAACAGAGACCACGACACTTGCTTACAGACCTCCCACTCCCTCCAGAGCTTCCTGGTGGAGACCCTTCACCGCCAGAGTCTCCAGAACCAAAGGCAGCCACACCACCTCAGCAATCATTGAGAAAGAGACCAAAGTAAGAACTAAATATACTTTATTTGATGGCATCTGTTTCAGAGTACTTTACCTTTAGGATAACATTTAGGATTGGCAGGAAGAATAAATTGGATGGTCAACATAGCTAACCAGATCACCTTTCATCTTGTCCAATGACATATAGTAAGAGTTGCTAATATATCTGTTTATACTCATGAGTCTAGATTGTTTTGATTAGTACTGGTAAATAACACTACTGTATTTTCAATTGAAATACAATCCAATTTGAAATGGACAGAAATGGAAAATGAGAGAAGCTCACAATGCAGATCTGGTTCATCGTGCATGGAGGATAAGGTTTGGTCCTCAGCTTGGTATCCATGGGTGCCAGTGAATCCAACAACATCTCCCTTGGTATCTGCCAGATTCCATGCCTATCTAGTTTTAATTTATTTTATATTCTATAATTTGAAATAAAATAAGAATTAAGCATGTTGCAAAGCATCACCCTCAAATATGACCTGTATTTCTATTAATGCCTCTGGGACTCACATAGAACTCAGAAATGTTCTTGAAAATAAAATGGCAGATGGTTGCAGCTAAAGTTTTGTTTCTAAGTATACCTATCTCCCCAGAAAATAAAGATAAGCTGTGTCCTGTTTGGATGCAAAACTGGCTGTTTTTCAGCATTTTGGAAGCATTTTGAACTTGAAACTCTGTTTTGAGCTCAAAACAATATTGAAATGCTCAGAACAGTAATTTTACTGAGGTAAAATAGAGTTGAGCACTTTGTATTTTAGTGTATTTCAATAACCCTGTCATTATCATTAAGGAATAATATCTGTATATTTTATGTGAACATTGTAGTTGGATTTTGTTTACCTGAGTTTAAGGTTTAGTGTATAGTGAGAATCCAGTCTACAAAAAATTGCTAACATTCTGGAGAGGGGACCTCCTATATACACTGTTAACCACCTATAGAAACCATTTTGTGATAAGGCATGTTACCTCCTCCCAGCCATTTTGTGATAACACCCACAAGTTGTTTTTTTTGAAGTCAGATGTGGTCCAAGTGCCCAGAAAATTTGGATGCTCTGATCAATATGCAGGTATCAGGGAAAGAGAAGTGGAACTTCAAGTACTTGAGTGCATATGTGTATTAATCCTTTATCTACCTTAAAGTTTAATGACTACAGTTCATATGTACAGAGCAGAAAAATAGAATTATAATTCAAATGCAGTCAATAATATTCTTTCAGCTATTGTTTTACAGGGAACAACTTTGAAATATATATTTATTTTTATATATATATATAAAATAATTTTGATTAAGAATTTTGATTATGATAGTAAAAATCTAATACAAACTAAATGTAAAGCAAGAAAAGAGAATAGAATATAAAGGAGTAAAAAGTGCAAGAAAAACGAAAAAAGAGAGAAGAGAAAAGTAAGAATATAATAAAGAGAAAATATATAAAGAAGTGACTTCTAACCTTCATCACAACAAGTATAAACAAATTTAGTGACTCTTCGCCCCCTCTAAGGTTACAAACGTTTATCTCTTCATCCCATATCCCATCTCTTATCTATAAACAAATCCATAAAACATCTTTTCAATTCTGGTGTCAGCAGAAAGTCCATAAAAGGTTGCCAGAAGTAACAATGTATCTTGTTTTAACCTTGATCAAATAAACCAACTTTACATTCCTTCCTTTTACTTCTAACAGTCTTAATCTTTAGCTCATACAAATATTATTGTGGGATTTCATTTCTCTTCATTTCTTTTTTGTCCCATTGCACAGAGTTCTTCAAGGCTTTAACAAGCCTCTTTTGTGGTTACAAACGTTTATCTCTTCATCCCATATCCCATCTCTTATCTATAAACAAATCCATAAAACATCTTTTCAATTCTGGTGTCAGCAGAAAGTCCATAAAAGGTTGCCAGAAGTAACAATGTATCTTGTTTTAACCTTGATCAAATAAACCAACTTTACATTCCTTCCTTTTACTTCTAACAGTCTTAATCTTTAGTTCATACAAATATTATTGTGGGATTTCATTTCTCTTCATTTCTTT